TCAAATAGCCACATTAAGCAACTCAGGTATAATCCCAACTACTTGCGGTGTTACGTTTGTGGGCGGCGATGGAGAAAGATACGGTCCATCTACCTGGGACAGGAGGGATGATCTAGTAGAGAACAGGAGGAACAGGGCTGACAGGATTTGAGGGGGGTCTTTCGGTATTTGAGGGGCTGCCCCAAAGAAGACGGGGGGGGGGGGGTCAAATTATTTTCCAAAGCAAGAAGCCATGGATGGAAATTCATTCAAGGAGTGAAGCAACCTGGAATTAAAGAGAAACTTCCTGACAGTGAGGACAATTAACCAGTGGAACAGCTTGCCACTAGAAGTTGTGGGTGATCCATCTCTGGAGGCTTTAAGAAGAGACCGGACAGTCAAAAACTGGGCCCGTATTATCACTTGTGGTACACGTGCCCAAAAGAAAAAAAAAAGAAAAATTGGACGGAAGTGCATACTTGTATAGAAAAAATGTTAAGACGACATATAGATTGTAAGCCAGAATTATTTTTGTTAAGGCATCATACCAGAAAAAAATATGATAAAGGAAATGTATATTTGATATTGCAGGTTTTAACATATTTGCACAACATTGGAAAAGCAAGGAAACACTTGCCAAAGAAGATATAATTAAAAAAAACATATCGGACCGTGCAGAAACGGACACATTGACACTGAAGATAAGAGAAAAAGATGACAGAATATAATTTTGAATTTGGGACTTGTTTTATCAATGGCTGGATAAAAGAGGTAGAAATTAGGAACTTAAGTATTACTATGTAAACGAATTGACCCAGACGGTACACTGTTTATTAAGCACAAAACAAATGAACTATCTACAGTATCTATCTATCTATCTATCTATCTATCTATCTATCTATCTATCTATCTATCTACCTACCTACCTATCTACCTATCTATCTTCTATCTCTCTATCTATCTATCTCTACCTACCTACCTACCTACCTATAGAAGAGACTGGATAGCCATTTGTCTGGAGTGGTCTAAGACTGTGATGGCTAACCTTTTTGTCATCGTGTACTGAAAATGCGCGCCTGTGCATGCACCCATAATGCAATGCACGCGCAACCCCCGTGCTCCCCTTGCCCCCTGAGCATGAGCACACGTGTCCCCTGAGCCCGCCATGCATGCGGAGCAGATACCCGAAAACGAGCTGGCTGGCGGGAGGCACAGGCGCATGCGCAGTAGAACTGAGCTGAACGTGATGGCTCGCGTCCCCGCAGAGATGGGGGGGATAATAATTCTGGCACGCGGGCCACAGGTTCTCCATCCCGGGTCTAAGATCTCCTGCTTGACCGGTGAGTAGGACTAGAAGACCTCCAATGTCCCTCTCAGTTCTATTCTGATTCTGATCCAACGGCATAATTAACCCCAAAGTCAATTAGCCGTGGAGTTGACATTCAAGCGGATAGAACGCCGGGAGGAAAATGCCACAGGAACCGTTTTGACTGGATTGAGCAAGCAACTCCATTGTCTTTCAAGCTCACATTGTGGCATGCTTGCTTCCTGCCTGCCTTCCTTCCCAAGCGGCCAACTGTAGAGAATAGTTATGGCTCAGGACTGGACGAACGATTGCTGGCCGTCCTTGTCTTACAAGACTCTGTTTAATGACCGATCAGACACGGCACTTATGACTGGGGTTTTTTTTTTCCCCCCACGCTTAGAACCGCTGCAGCATCCCCAGGGTCACGTGATCAAAATTCAGACGCTAGGCAGCTGACTCACATTTATGATGGTCGCAGGGTCCTGGAATCACGCGGTCCCCTTTTGCGACCTTCTGACTTCCAATGAGAAAGCCAGGTTCGCTTAACGACCGTCTTAACTCGAGCCGTCGAGGCACCAGTGGTTACAAGGCAATATGGCAGAATGGAATGGAATGGAATGGAAGGGAAGGGAAGGGAAGGGAAGAGAAGAGAGAATAGAATAGAATAGAATAGAATAGAATAGAATAGAATAGAATAGAATAGAATAGAATAGAATAGAATAGAATTCTTAATTGGCCAAGTATGATTGGACACACAAGGAATTTGTCTTGGTGCAAATACTCTCAGTGTACATAAAAGATACTTTTGCCAAGAGTCAAGAATCATCAGGTAAAAAACTTAATAATAGTCATGGGATACAAATAAGCAATCAAATCATACTAGGAAACCGTCCATATAGATCATAAGGATACGAGCGACAAAGTTACAGTCATAAAGTCACAAGTGGAAGAGGATGGGCGAAGATTAACAGTAATAGGAGTGCAGACTTTGCAAATAGTTGGGACAGTGTTGAGGGAATTATTTGTTTAGCAGTTGTGTTGTAGACTGGAGAAAGATGATGTTGGAACCCAACCCCTTGGTTGAAAGAGGGCTGACATAGATGGCTCCTTGGGACCCTCTTTCAAACCAGTGGTCCTCTCTCCAAAATGTGGAAAGAGGGGGTGGGGTGGGGTGGGGGTCAAAGAAGCTGTCTATGTCAAAATTGAACGCCCTTCCCTCAACAGAGGGGGAGGGATACGGCATCACCTATCTCCAGTCTACAACACGGTCCTTTCAGCCGTTCCAAGGAGGCTCCACACCTATTTGCCCCACTCAGGTGACCCCGAGAACACAGACAAGCCTCCAAGGGGCCTCCACGACCCTCTAAAAGGATGCAAATGACCTGCTGTCTGCAAGGAGTATCCATCCTTCCTTTCTCCGCCATCCAGTCAGAACTGAAGAAGCTTCTTGGAGGAGAAGGGAAACATCTTCAAAGAAAAAAAAAACAGAAAGTCCAGTTGCCTCCTGAAAAAAAACACACCTTTGAGATAAGTCTAAAGCACCCGAAGGCCAGACAAGGAATAATAGATGGAAACTGAT